AGGCAGCGGGGGGGGGGGGGGGGGGGGGGATTAGTTTCAGCAAAACCATTCTGAAAAGTTAAGAAAACTTCTCATGAGAGGCAATGAAAACACTTTCTCACCAACATTTTTATGTACATCCGCAGCGTGTTTAAGTAAATACATCCACATATGCACGCGTGCAGACTTGTGAGCAAACAGAACACATACACAAACAGGATAGTATATTACAGCCATGAAAAAGAAAGGGAAAATGCAGCAAGCAAGATTTATGTTAAGACAAGACAGGAAACAAGGGCCTAGTCAGGGTTGCCTGAAGAACTGCTGAAGTAAATCAGCATTTAATAACTATTACAAAGCTATAAGTTGTAGCCGCTTATACACTGGCTGAAGGAAGCATTTTGGTTAGCCACAGACTATTGTGTATGCCTGTAAATCTGCCTGAGAAAGGAGGATACTACGAGATGAACAGTGCGTGCAAAGGGGAAGCTTCTACTGGAACACGGTGAGGGAGATGAGTGAGAGGTACAGACTCACTCTGTCTGCGGTGCGGTGGAACACTCCGAGGGATGCCCTGGAATGAGCCCTGCCAGGGAGAGAAGGAGGGAGCAGAATACCCACCCTGTGCAGAAAGAGAGAGGGGGAGAAGTATAATAAAAAAAGAGAACAGGGAAAAACAAGACACCAAAAAGCCACACCATTCTTTTTCTTTTTCCCCCAGAAAGGTATTATATTTCCCAGTTGTTCTACTTCGCAAAAGCAAACGCTACATGCTACAAGCCCAGTGGAAAAACATTATGATGCCCTAGTCAGAAATCTTACAAAATCAATCTCACAAAATGCACACATTTCTGTTAAAGATGTTCTTAAGGGAAAAGTATAAGAACTGAGCTTTTCATGTTAAAAACACATGCCAAAAACTGTATTTTTACAGCTTTCAAAAATGCTTTTAAAACACCTCACCAAGCAATAAGTTGCTTCATACTAATCTACTGGAAAAACAGCAGCTTTAGTTTATAACAAAAATTTTCTAATGCATAGAAAGGGCTTTTCTAGCATATCCTGGTGCTAATTTACAGTCCACTTCACTCATATTTTGACAGTATTATTAAATGTGACATATAACCGTTTTCCTTGCACTTTGCTCTAGGAGCTTGAGCTTTCCATTACAGGATGAGAGAACTGTGCACATCGAAGCCATGCCACAGAAGTCACACACTGTGGTTGCTGCATTCGCAAAGCAAGAAAGTAATTTTATGCAGTCTATCATTTTTCCCATACCCTTACCTTTAAAAGAAATCTATCCAAGCCGGATCTGCCCTCTTAAGTCACATAATCTTGATTTCCTATTTCAGCAAGACAGGTTTAAGTCTTTACAACCCCTTCACCATTTAGCAGCTGAAAACCTCTGCTTTTGTGAGTTCTGGAATATTAGTGCCAACAGTAACGACCGCCACTGCCTCCTGGCTACCAGTAACCAGCAGATATCAACAGCAACCAGTTGTAGCTACTCTTTCAGAGAGCAGGCAGAAGATATCCAAAGGAACATCTATAGCAAAGAACACAGGAACACAGCTTGCCCCTCCCCTCTAGTTTCTCTGCTGGCATATCTGCTGCAGATCATAATGCCAGGGCTGGACAAACAATGACCGAAGTATTTTGTTTCCATGCTTCTTTTCAAAGAACATTAAGCATCCTGTTATCCCTATAAAGAAATATTCTGCTGCTATTTATCCTAGAAGAATGTAACACTTCCCTGACCTTCCAGTTATCCTAATCTAGTTAGACTTTATCCACCACCATTCCAAGTTTCAGTACTGCTAACACGTTAATTTAATAACACACGCATTTCATCAAGTCTTAGAGTTTGCTAGCCTGAACATTTTAAAACTAGAACAGGAAATAGAGAAAAAAACTGACAAGACTTCTTTATTCTTCCTCAGAAGCGGAGACAAAAGAGTTATTGGAGCAAAATCCAAGGAAAAAAAATCGAAATAAATTCTTGAATCTGATTGTCTCTAGATGGAGATATTGATTACCTAACATGTTCTTACAGTCCTCCATCAGTAGTCATTAACATCAACACAATTTGTAGACTGCTGCATGAAAGAACAACAGTACAAGCTTCAGTCAAGCAATATAACAAAGTAATATAATATGTTGCATCAGCTGAGTAGGTATTAAATACAGAAATATTTCTGGGAACAAGATTAACCAATCCATGATTGATGAGACATTAATGAAAATCTTTGAATTTTCACAGCGCTGTACAGAAGAACACCTCATTTTTCAGGCTTGTTCACATTTCATCCTAAGTTGTGTCAGGGTGGTAGAATAACAACAACAAAAAATTCTTTCAATTTTCTGAACATAACTGAATCTCCAGGTAGTAAAAAGCACAGTATCATCAGGCATAGGTCTCATCTTGTAGACACTTGTTTGAGCTGGCAATGGGCTTTGAAATTTTTAATGCATTAAATTAAGACAGGACATGAAAGTTTTATATCCTCTCCCTTCCTCTCTAAGACAAGAGATTAAGACAAGTACAAGCCAGCTGAGCTACATAACAGTTATGATACTATTGTTAAAGCAAAGATATATTTAGATGTCTTGATACATTCCAGTAATTTTTAAGCATCCATATTAGCACTTCAAAGCACAGCACTAAGTAGTCTTCTCAATAATTCTTCATGGTATTTAATCATTACTCTGACTGAGGAAGTAAACGAAGGAAGTGCAAGTAACTTCCCACAGTGTTTTGCCTGCAAAA